ACATACATACATACATACATACATACATACATACATACATACATACATACTACATACATACATACATACATACATACATACATACATACATACATACATACATACATACATACATACATACATACATACATACATACATACATACATACAACATACTACATACATACATACATACATACATACATACATACATACATACATACATACATACATACATACATACATACATACATACATACATACATACATACATACATACATACATACATACATACATACATACATACATACATACATACATACACATACATACATCTCATACATACATACATACATACATACATACATACATACATACATACATACTACATACATACATACATACATACATACATACAATACATACATACATACTACATACATACTACATACATACATACATACATACATACATACATACATTACATACATACATACATACATACATACATACATACATACATACATACATACATACATACATACATACATACATACATACTAACATACATACATGAAACGTGAATCTGCTAACCGTACATTTACTAGGCTTTGTATTTGTTTTGTAGGTATCGAGAAACCATGAATTGTACACCCTTTGGCTCAATACTATGGGTATCGAAAACCTTCGGTTTTGATTCCATTATAGATACCGTAAATCTGGGAGAAATGTGGCTTGTCTGCCTACCCCTGGATGTGAACCCGGACCACAAGAAGTTCGCCACCCGTCGCTGTGCATTGAAATTTAACAAACTGAGCTAGCGAGCTAGGAATTGTTTTTTAGCGTTAATAATTAAATTTAAAAAGAGGCAGAATGGAAAAGGAGACAGTTGGAAAGAATTAACGATAAGAGACAGCAGATAATAATTCATAAAAGAAACTGTGAGAAAGAGAGCCAGATAGAGAGAGAAAGATAGTGAAAGATAGATGGAAAACAGGGAGATGACAGAGAAACACAAAATGTGTAAATAAGAGAGAAGGAGAGTGAGAGGGAGACATAGTGACACACACACACACACACACACATACACACAAAGAAACAGACAGACAGACAGAGAAATTGAAAGGCTAACAACGTTTGGGCCAGTAAAGCAAACCAAACATTTTCAGAAAAGCATAAACAAACTCCGAAAGTGAAATTCAGCTACTGATTTTTTGCAGGGCCCGTTGGGGTCTGATAAGAAATTAAAAGGGTCTTAAGCCAAATAAAACGAGGGATCTCCCATCGACTTGGATAGAATTAGGGCAGTCGGTCTTCGCTGGGAAGCATCTTTTCTGGGCGACAAACACGTAAAGATTCGATGTAAATACCTTGGCAAAACAAAGCTTTGCCGTTAAGACAACAAAAGTATCGCAGGGCGTTAATGAATTGAAAGCCTCAATTTGCGAGGTCTAGAATGCTTTCTCTTGATTGAGGTTCTCGTCTTGAGAAGAAGAGACAAGGCAAGGCAGACAAAGAAGACTAAAGTAAATTTAATACATACTTTACTGTCAATAGGTAATCAACCTGAAATGTTTGGCCGACGAATGTGAGCGACAGCTCAGAGATTTTTAGGTAAATATCATTTTATCAATCAATAATAAGGTGCCTCTCTTAATGACGGGATTGCGATGGATCTTCCATAGCAATGTTTGTACACCATTCGACAATCGCACTTAATCTACCTCACTTGGATCTACACACTTGGTGTGGTGTGGTGATCCATCATAAACAAATGACATTAGTTTATGGTTTCCTGGGGAGGGGGTCAATTTGGGGCTTTGGGGGGGGGGGGGGTGGATCAACTACCCCCTATGAAATTTTCCTGACAAAGTAATTACCGTAGTTTCGCTTCGAAAGAATCGTGAACAAAGGATACCTCATGTGGTTTTCGGCAGCTCTGGGTTGAGTCGTTTGAACTAACTGCCCCCAAAAGCTAGAAGCGTATCCCTTACAGGATGTTGCAGAACCATTCCCAGCAATAGCTTTTATTTTACGAGACACTTTTACATTCAGCAGTTTGCCATTGTGACTAAACGGTCAGATTTCGTTGCTGCTTTGTTTTTTTCTATTTGTCCATTGCATTCTTTGCATTCTTCTTAGAAACCATACCTCTGCCGCAAGTAAATGTCTTTCAATTTGTCTGCCTGTTGTCAATGTTTCACACACATATAACAACACAAGTTCTACATAGCACTTCAACACCTTCTTCTTGTTGATGAGAATCTAGGACTTGACCTATATTTTACAGACCAATCGGCATCCGGTGCAATGAAGTCTATTCGCTCGACTTTAAACATTCAAACCTTTAGACCAATCTGCACACCGTGGGTGAAGTGGCCAACGTCACGCCTGACGCCTTCACTTTAGAGGTCTTTATCTAGTTCCCATTTAAGGTTGGGTCGACCTTAGAACCAAGATCACTTTTTTGAAAAACCTTGTGTCGGTTCCTGAGCCCCAGTATGAGAAAAACTGACCCACTGCCTACCCGAAAATATGTCGTATGAGTCGATTAACTAGAAGCTTCTTTCGAAGTCAGAGTGCATTTGCCTAGAAATGGGGGATGGGGGGGGGGGTGGTTAAGGAATTAACAATCTGCACACAAATGAGCCAGACCTGTAAAAAAAGATGTGCACGCCACTCAGGTTCTAGAGACTAGAGACTAGAAGTGGACGAACAACTAGGAATTTTCGCCGAAAATTTCAGCCAGTGAAGGCAAAGATGAAGGTGATGTGTGAAAAAATGCGGCTCCCCCAGGACCTCAAGCCACGCCCTCCGGATCCACAGGCAGGCGACTAGCCGCTACACCACGATGACTCCTATTTTGTTAATAGACATCGCCCTATTACAGTAGATTGAGCAGGTTAGTTCTCAAATTCTTAAATATATCGGCTTACACGGCATCAGAATTATGTATGACTTCGTCTGTGAAACAAAGGACACGCAGCAATATGGAACACATTGACCAGATCCACTCAGACAATGGTTCGATGTCTCATTAACAGGTTCACCCTGATTGGATCCGGTGTCTGGCCAAGCAGTGGAGCCTACAAAATTAAACCTGAGATGATTTCATTTGGAACACTTTAATTCCGGCATACCCTTTCGGGTTGTTATTTGAAATCATCGACTTTCTAGTTAATGTAATGAATTTAGCGCGGGGGCCGATTGAGGGTTGAAAATACAAGCCAAATTCTCGGACATTCGAGAAAGATTGGATTAGAGAGGAAGCGGGCGAAATTGAATCGCGATTGAATCGAAGATGGCGGAATGTCCACTCTTAGACTCGAACTAAGTTCCACAAGAGTGGAAGAAAAAGTGGACGTCCTTTTCAGTAAAGTCTGTGTTCGTTCGTCATTGCTGTCTCTTTGTTTTCAGGGTGAGTCTAAATCTGATTAGGACTTGTGAGATGGGACATTATATTATCTACGACAAGAAGAGGGAATTTTTTTTTTTTCCCCTTAGTTACTTTTTCTGTGAAGAAAAAATTTCTGGGTTGTGTCTTCTCTTCTGTGGGTTTCTTTTCTAAAACCTTTTTGTAGTTTTACTTCACTGAGTCGTTCCTTGTTTCTATTTTTTTAAATCAAGCATCATCATGCCCTTCGGTCTTCATATCACAGTTATCAGAAGTGAAAAAAAGCGTTATAAAACTGCGAGAATGTCTACCCTCTCTTTCATACCTAAAGCACATTTATATGTGCTTATGTGCTTACTAACGGTCTTTCATCTGGTCACAGAGAGGATTGGGAGAGAGGAGAAGACGAAGAAATGGGGAGAGAAGAATACATAGGACAGCTGCAGCTAGTAGAGACAGGAACGAACGAATGAACAAACTTTTTTTTCGAAGGTTTAAGAACTGGGCACGCAGGCCCGTCTTACATTCTGCTCTTTTGGCCTGACTCCTCACATACATTATTCAAGTCCTATATCAGTTAATGTTATATTTAAATGTCTTCTTTTTTTTTCTTCAAAATTTTTGTGATATGCGCTAATTATACCGCCATTAGAAAGTGTAATAAAACGGGTTGGGGGGGGGGGGGGGTGATAATATGTTTAAAACTAACGTGTAGTCTGTACTGAGATAATATTTAAATAGATGACAGCTTGTATGTGATATTTGTGATTGGCTGTGGAAGTTGGTTCCACAGATGAGCTGCGGTATACGCTAAGCTGATTCTGTATAAGTCTGTCCTAAAGCTAGGGATATATAGTATGTTCAGGCGTTTGCTTTGTCTTCCATTATATCTAAGCAACGGCCAAAGGTACTCTGGGGTATTTTCGATATGATTTTATGAATACATTTTGATTTATTCAAAAGTTCTTTTATACGTTGGAACTGGAATCTTCCATAATTGTTACCTATTAAAGATACAGCTATTCTTTGAAGTTCTTCAAGTAGTTTGAGAAAAATGGTGCTGCCATAAGTGACCAGGAGATCTGTCGTACGCTCACACTTAAGAAAAAGTGAGACTGATTCACAGTTACTGGTGCCATTGGAATTGGAACTCTTTGCTTGTTGCTGAAGACTGGGACGGGGCCCTAATGGGAGTGTTCCGACGGCTGTTATGTCGATTCATAATTCTTCTTCTTGTTTGCGTACACCGGCTAAAGACTCCGGCGAAAAGTTCAGTTGTTTGTCATCAGCTGGACTTAAGTCTTGCTCCAGAACATGAGTGTTGCGTGCATATCCATATTGCAGATGACTTTTTGTAGGCAGATTGTTGGTTCCTTGCCTCTCAGGCAGATGCACTCCAACTCCAAAGGAAGTCCCCGGTTAGCAGACTCTTACAGCATGCTTGTTATGAAGTTAGTAGGTCTATTCTTGATTTCCCCGATAATGGGGCCATAGTTGCAAGTGCAGTATTTTGCGATTGCTCACTGAGTGGTACGACGTTAGCACTGATTTCAGTGTTAATGCACCTCCTTCAAAAGGACCTGCTAAATGATGATGATGATGATCAATTGAAAATCTAGCACATACCTCCGCAGTTAAAGATCTTCCTGACCGCGGTTGTAGTGAGTATATGACGCCTCAGGAAGTCTGCGATCTGTCCTCCAATAGGCACGATGATGGCCATCACCAGGTGCGGCAGGGCTGATAGTGTACCGCTCTGGGGAGTAAGTCAATCAGGACGCTCATGTCATTTCTATCTATCTATCTATCTATCTATCTATCTATCTATCTATCTATCTATCTATCTATCTATCTATCTATCTATCTATCTATCTATCTATCTATCTATCTATCTATCTATCTATCTATCTATCTATCTATCTATCTATCTATATCTATCTATCTATCTATCTATCTATCTATCTATCTATCTATCTATCTATCTATCTATCTATCTATCTATCTATCTATCTATCTATCTATCTATCTATCTATCTATCTATCTATCTATCTATCTATCTATCTATCTATCTATCTATCTATCTATCTATCTATCTATCTATCTATCTATCTATCTATCTATCTATCTATCTATCTATCTATCTATCTATCTATCTGTCTATCTGTCTGTCTGTCTGTCTGTCTGTCTGTCTGTCTGTCTGTCTGTCTGTCTGTCTGTCTGTCTGTCTGTCTGTCTGTCTGTCTGTCTGTCTGTCTGTCTGTCTGTCTGTCTGTCTGTCTGTCTGTCTGTCTGTCTGTCTGTCTGTCTGTCTGTCTGGCTGGCTGGCTGGCTGGCTGGCTGGCTGGCTGGCTGGCTGGCTGGCTGGCTGGCTGGCTGTCTGTCTGGCTGGCTGGCTGGCTGTCTGTCTGTCTGTCTGTCTGTCTGTCTGTCTGGCTGTCTGTCTGCCTGGCTGGTTGTCTGTCTGTCTGTCTGTCTGTCTGTCTGTCTGTCTGTCTGTCTGTCTGTCTGTCTGTCTGTCTGTCTGTCTGTCTGTCTGTCTGTCTGTCTGTCTGTCTGTCTGTCTGTCTGTCTGTCTGTCTGTCTGTCTGTCTGTCTGTCTGTCTGTCTGTCTGTTTGTCTGTCTAATCTATCTATATGTCTATCTGTCTGTCTGTCTGCATTTTTGTCTGTCTGTCTGCTTGTATGTCTGGCTGTCTGTCTGCCTGCTTGTTTCACTGTCTCCCTGTCTGTCTGTCTACCTTTCTGTCTGTCTAGCTAGTCATCCATCCATCCATCCATTTATCAGTCTATCTTACTGACTGTCCGTCTTCCTGTCGGCCTGTCTGTCTGACTGCCTGACCGTCCGACGTCCGTCTGTCTGTATCCGTCCGGTCAAACGTTTGACTGTCTATGTATCTGTCTGACTGTCACCATCGCTGCCTGCCTTGAAGCCTACATGTCCGTCTGTCTCTAATTACTTTTAGATTCGCTATATTAACATTGTGATCTATTAGTTAGTCCCTCTGAGCCTGTTCATGTTATCCCGGGCCTACTCTCCAGTTTTTGTGTTCTCCTCTCTACTGGTGGCACACGCTAGACGGTCTGCATTCACGATTAGCCTAGCTGAGCTCATCGATCCCCACCGGAAGCAGGTAATGTAGGTTAAGGTGTGTCTTCTTTGCCTCAAGTCGTCCATGGCATCTCCTCCGATTACATGACATTTCAGTCGCTCCTAAGCTTAATGTCAGATTAAAATCGTCACGAATGGTGAGCGTTTTTAATGTTCTCGTTTGAATTGCACTGATCTGAACACGCAATGCCATAAACACACATAGACACACATATCATAGTATTTTTAAACATGGAGAACAACCAAGGCAATTACTAATAAATTACAGACATTCATTAACTGGTGCCTGCGCAGAATAGAGGGAATAAAATGGTATGATAGAATAACTAATGTAGAACTTTGGGAGAGAACTAAACAGGCTCCAGTGGATCAGGAAGTGAGGAAAAGACGCTGGCATTGGATAGAGCACACACTGAGAAAACAGGAGAACAGCATAACTAGAATGTCTTTGCATTGGAACCCACAGGGGCATAGGAATAAAGGAAGGCCAAAAAACACATGGAGAAGAGAGCTGGAGAACGAGGTTAGAAAGATTGGGAGGACATGGGGAGAGCTCCATGCAATGGCGAAGGATAGAACGACTTGGCGTGAGTTGGTTGAGGGCCTATGCTCCATTGGGGGGATAGAAAGGCAGAAGAAGAAAGAAAGAAGTTACCACTCTGTACCTTCTTATTATTACTACTTCTGCTGCTGCCGCTGCTGCTACTACTACCACCACCACCACCACCACCAGCTGCAGCACTAAAGCCCGTTTAGAAATTGAGGCCGATGTCCAAACAATTATATACTAGCTATAGTGTAACATAAATGGATGAAATAAAATATTTATGTTTACTTCATTCTCAACGTTAAGTCAGATTTTTCTCCCACACTAAAAAGTCACTAGAATGCATTTTTGCTTTTTTGAGGTACACAAATAAAGATAGTCGTTGCTGGACTGCGTTTTAGGAGTTATACATCATCATCATCATCAGGTGCCTCGCCGACTGGCGTGGGCAATCATGCCTCTACATAATCTGCGATCTCCTGCAGCATGTATCAGTTCGTGTGCCGACACACCCTCATGCCATGCAACAAGACTGTCAAGCATCTTCTCTCGTTGTCTTCCTCTATCCCTCCTTCCACAGATCTTTCCAGTGGTCACAACATGTTCTATTTTCCCTCTTCTAATAACATGGCCGAAAAATGATGACTGTCTCCTTCTGATGTCTGTGATAAGTTGTCTTCCGGCTCTTGCCTCTTTCAAAACCTCTTGGTTGCTCTTTTTGGCTGTCCAAGGTATTCTAAGCATTCTTCTGTAAAACCACATCTCAGAGGCCTCTAGAAATTGTTTGGCTTGCCTATCGATTGTCCAGGATTCACAGCCATATGTTAAAACTGGATGTATGTAGCAAGCAAGAATTCTTTTTCTAACTCTCAATGACAAGGATATATTGCACAAGATGTTTTTCATTTTATAAAATGCAGTTTTTGCCTGTCCAATTCTGTTTCTTATTTCAGTTATGCATCTTCCATCTTATGTTATCCATGTGCCCAGATACTTTCATTTCTGTACTTGTCATAAAATAACACCATCGACTTTTATTACACATTCAGGAATAATTTGTTTCTTTGATACCACCATTACTTCTGTCTTCCCATTATTCAAACTGAGGCCCATTCTTCCACTTTCTAACACCACAATGTCTACCATTTCCTGTAATTCTTTCTGACTTGTTGCTATCAAGACTGTGTCATCAGCATAACGTAAATTGTTTATATTGTGCCCACCAACCACACTTCCGAGCATATCAATTAAAGATCTCATTATATATTCACTGTATATTAAAAACAAATCAAGCGAAATTACACATCCTTGTCGTACGTCCCTCTTTATGCTTTGAAATGTACCTAAACAGCTGTTAATTCTTATAGCTGCTGTTTGCTGCCAATACATATTCTTTATTATTCGTAGATCTTTCCCATCAATGTTTAATTTTCCTAACAGTTTGATTACTTCTTCATGCTTCACACAGTCAAATGCTTTTGTATAGTCTATGAAGCATAAGAACAAATCAGTCTTTACTTCTATAGCTCTTTCTGACAATGTCCTTAGGATGTATATGGCATTGTTTGTACCTTTTCCTTCTACAAATCCACATTGTTCATCGCTGATTTCTGGTTTAATTTTGTTTCTTATTCTTCTCATAATTATTCTCAGTAAAATCTTAGTCACGTGACTCATAAGACTTATTGTGCGATGGTCTTCACATTTTATAGTGCCTGGTTTCTTAGGCAGAGCTATAAATATGGATTTTAAAAGGTCATTTGGAATATACCCACTATTATAAATATCATTTAAAAGTTTAGTTATAATTTCAATTCCCAAATTTCCCAATGCTTCGATTTCTTCCAGTGAGATGTTGTCTGGCCTGGGTGCTTTTACTTTCTTCATATGATGTATTGCATCCTCAACTTCTGCAGTCATTATTGGTGGGCCATCATTGTTGGTCTGCAGTTCTACATCTGGTCTATTATCATCATACAATTCCCCTATATACAGCACAGTTCAAATGTAGCCAATCCACCTTAAAAATACGTCAATCTAATGTCTTGCCTGAATAAGACAACGATTGTGTGATTGGGGTGGAGGTTTGAAGGAGGGGTATTGTGTCCACACCTTCTGTAAAATCCTTAAAATGGAGCTAAAAATTAAATTAGTTACACTAAAAAGGATAAAAATACAATTATATAAATATTTCTTTATTTGAGTCAAAATTTCATTATTTGTATCATTTCATTTCAAACGCAGAGAAAAGAATTTTAAAAAATGCCACAAACATTCTCAAGATTGGCTAGAGAAGAATCAGTTGTGTCTACACATACCAGTGCTGAATGTAAAGGGGAAAACAACTGATGACAGCTCTGACCAACAACAAACAAAAAAATGATTAAACGACCAATATACAGAATGTTAGACAATAAATACATTATTGAGGTTGAATTTTAAAAAATTAAGACAGAACCATGACATTGATGTAGCCAAAAGTATGTTATGGAAAATGTTAAACGGTGCATGAACAACCGTGAAAAACCAAACAGAAACGCCTCTAACTTCTGTCATATTCCGGTACTTCTATTCACGTAGGTGCTGTAAAACTGGTTAATTGTCATACGGGATGAAATTTTTTTTTTATTTGAAGTGCCACACTGGCTTCAGCCGGGTGCCCTGAATATAGCCGGGGCATAGTTATGGCCTAACGGCTGAAAGGGTTTTTGGGGACCTCTCCACAGGTGATATTTATCTGTATGGTGGCACTTTGTGTCACCGGGTGTTTATCGCTTGTGTGATATCCTGGTAGGGTATAACTACCTACCTACCTAAAATTGGTTACCGAACTAAAATTATACAAGTGATGAAAAAAAACAAAGAAAGCGACTGTTTCGTTAAAACTAGGCAGTCTTTATGTTATTTATGTATAAAACATTAATGTCGAGATGAAAATAGGAGCCCTTGCAACAACAACAAAATATACATAGAGATTCCCAGGATAAATAGTTACAGAGAACTTATCGATACTACTCGTACAACAGCACGAACTAGAAAAAGCTCTATACTACTACTACTACCACTGCTGCTGCTGCTTTTAATATTATTATTAGGCCTTCTAACTAGGATTAAACAGCCTGCGAGCTCCCTTTTTTTGTGTATAAAAAATATGTTTGGCAGAGTCTCCCCACACCAATGTATTTTTTTGTGTTGGCGTGCTCCATGCAGGAACCTCTGCTTATCCAATTCTAACTTTAATTTTACTGAAAAAAGGGTCCTATGCGAGGCTGCAGGTTTTCCAGGCAGATGCCAGGCGCCGCACAGAAGTAAATGCTTTTTCTCCGTGATGTGGTAGGCTTCCCACTTGACCTCAGATGGGAGAACATATCCAGTTTTCAAGTGCAATGCATGTAATATTTACTGTGTGAAAATGCATAATAGATGACTTTATCCAGACAGGATCACTGCTGATGTGTCTATATAACGTATTGCTCTAAAGGTGACAGACATCTGGATATTTTTTGTTGTTGTTGGTTATAGTGCATGAACTGTTAGTTTACGTTATCATACGTCTTTGGGCAATTTGTTTTTCGATCTTTTTTTTTTTTTTTTTTTTTCTCTCGTCGTCTTTTAGTCCTTCATCTTCTTCCAGTATGCCTTCTTTTTTCATTCCGTCTTACTCATCCATTTTATTTTTCTCTTTCAATTTATCGTCGTATTTAATTACGTCGTTTTCTCCCCTTATGTCTCTTTCTTCCATTCCTTTTTCTTTTTTCAATTTCTTCTTCTTCTTCTTCTTCTTCTTCTTCTTCTTCTTCTTCTTCTTCTTCTTCTTCTTCTTCTTCTTCTTCTTCTTCTTCTTCTTCTTCTTCTTCTTCTTCTTCTTCTTCTTCTTCTTCTACAATATTTTAGTTAAGACGCTGTTGTCGCCTGTTTGTTCGCTTCCTAGTTGCGATTTTTGCGCCTTTGCACCCATACTTTTGATTTTGTTGATGTTTTGCTGTTGAAGGATAATCGCTGAAACGTTCTCCGTTTGTTTATTGCAAGTGGGTTTTAAAAAAATGACATGTACTTTATAGTTTTTGTTATCATTTTTTTTTTTCGTTTCTCTTCCCAACTTTTTTATGCCTTATGCAGTAACAATGCCGTAATCTATTTCTCATATCCGCCCCCGTCAACCACCCCCCTTTGTGTGTGTGTCATTTTCTTATCTCAGGGGGAGGGGGGGGGTTTCCAGTGCAAGAACACGTCTATATGATTTGGTCATTTAGTGAGAATGCAACCAGAACAACTACTAACACAGGCCCCACACATGGACAAATCTGATGTGAAAGCAAGAGGTCGCCCTAGGAGGACATGGACTGATAATATCAAAGAGCTTCTACATCGACACCGACTGACAATGGCTATTGCTGTCCATCAGGCAATAGATCACAAACTGAACCTTCCCACGTCGCTTAACGTTAGCAGTGCGAATTGATGATGAGGATGATTAAATCACAGATTTATCGTAAGTTCAAACTACAGTATACACCTCTCATCTTGTCTATCTTGACCTCTCACCTCGCCTGTCTTGACCTCTCACCTCGCCTGTCTTGACCTCTCACCTCGTCTTTGACCTCTCACCTCGTCTTTGACCTCTCACCTCGTCTATCTTGAATCCGAAGACCTCTTCAAAGTACGCTGGCTGGGAAATGATGAGCAGGTAAAAGGTCCAGGACCTGCAGAAGTTAGCCACCATGATCGCCCACACCGGCATTGAAGTAAAAAATGCAACCCATGGGGTGCGACAATTCTGCAGGAAGAAGTAAATATACATCCATCTGATTGTTCTTTACTTGTCTGAATATGTTAAATAGGTACTAAATATTAAACTATGAGGAAAGTATTTAAAACGATGGTATGGACGGAGCTGTAGAAATTTAATTTTTTTCTCAATCCAACTAACTGAATCTGATACGTGATATCCCGTATGGATTACGGGGCCCCATTGTGGGGAAAACCAGAATAGACCCAATGACTCCACAACAAGCATGTCGTAAGAGGCGACCAATTGGGGTTTCCTTAAAAGTCGGAGTGCATCTGCCTGTGAGTCAAGAACTAACAACCTGCATACTATTAAGTCAGACCTGTTAAACGGATGTGCACGCAGCACTCAGGTTATGAAACAAGACCAAAGCCCAGAGGTGGACAAACAACCAGACATGTCCACCGAGTTTACAGCCAGTGAATGCCAAGAAGATGAAAGGAGATACGTGTTAAATTATATATGTTTGAGGAGAGATCACAATAATTGAGTCTAGAAATCAGTAAGGAAACAACAAAGATAACAAGAATAAATCAGTCAATGGGGTCAACCCGTTTGCGGTTTGCTCTGCAGGTCGTGGGATCGCTTTACTGCAGTCAGTTCTCGAATGCAATGTTAACAGAGATCTATGGAGATCGTTGTCGAAGCTACGGGGTTCGTGCTTTGCGTTACACTCTCTA